TGTGAATTGACCTTCCGGTTGCAAAACCGGAGAAACCAGGTAAAAGGGTCACGGATGTCCAATTTTACAAGTTTGAGGGCTTAAAGTCAGCAAAAATAGATGAGGGGCTTATTTTTATCTAGACAAAGAGTTCAAGGGCCAATTGGATAATTTGCCCTTTATTTTATTACCATTTATATATACTTGTTAATTAATTACTATTATCTTTTGCTTTACTCCCATTTTTGTGCACGTGTAGGTGTTATTATTATGTGTACATGTATATATATATTGACTTATTATTATAATTATCATCTTAACTTATTCCACTTGTATTTATATTTTATTTTCGTTTATATCCTTAATTTGTTTCATCCATATTATTATTATTATTCTTATTATTACTATTATTTTAAGCATTTCGTTCAACAATCTAGAGCATATCTTACATTGTATAACTTAATCTAATAAGGCTAGGTTAAGATGTTTTAGATTTCTTTTTAACTATCCTAGACTTAATTAATTAAGTATAAGCTTAAATGACTAATTTTTAACTCCAAAAATTATCTTTAGGTTGGGTTTTGAAATTTAGTTCCTATGTTAGTCCATAAAGATGGCCTAGTTATTTCTAAATTTTATTTGCTGAATATCTACTAAGCCTATACTATATTTCTAACCCAAATATACTTGTCATTTTATATATATATATATATATATATAATATTATAGTGTATCTTTATTTTTTTCCTTGGCCAGCTTCTTGCCCGACCCTTTCGTTTCTTACCTTCACTTGGCGTTGCCAAGGCTTTTGTTAAGCTTTGGCAGCGCCGCAATTCTTGACTTCTATTTTTTTTTTTTTTGGTTTCTCGGGTTGGCCGTGGAGTGGTTCCCGTCGCCGGCCATGTGCTGGCGACTTCCTCTCCTTTTTTTTTTTTTTGGGCCAACCCATTCATGTCGCCAGCCATGCGCTCTTAAACAGCAGCAGCGGGCCGCTGCTCCAGCCCCCTCTTGTCTTTTTTTTTTTTTTTTTTTTTAACAGAATGAAGATTTCAATTCCATCCTATCCCATAACTAATATTTAGCACCCTATTTCTATGGATCCAAATGTATATCTTCCTAAATGTCTTCTACAGGCTAAATATATCATAATGCATATATGCACGAAATTTTTTAAAATAATTCATGGAATTAAATAGACTTAAGAGAAAGAATTTTAGCATACATTCGAAACTTACAGGTCTAAGCGTTTAATTGTCTTTTTGTTCGACGGTGACGTCCGCTTCTTCTCCTCTACTCTCAGTTGATTCTTGCTCTAGGGAGGCAGACAAGGGAGAGGCAGGAATGGTGTTAACTTTTTTTTTTTTTTCTCTCTATGCTTTGATAAAATTCTAAACCCTAGCAACTACCCACTAGTAGGTGGTTTAGGTATGAGTTTTACTTTATGATGAACTCTTATCTCACCTCATCTCCTTACTAACCCTAATTACTCCTCTACCCTATCCTACTAATAAATTTTATATTATTATTATTTTCTTTCGCCCATAGTAATTTTGCCTTTTTAATTAATTGAACAAAATAAACTAATAAAAAAATGAGCCAGGATGTGGGCTTTACACCCTTACATTAATATTCGTAGTATAACTAACAATTATACTTTTACATTAATTGTAACAACAGTATTAATAAAAAGTTTCAACGTATAAGGTATGAATCAAAGCAATTAATAAATAAAATAGTTTATATTTATTGATAACAAAACATTAAATAAGGTCATTTTACAAAAGTTAAAAGTCAACTATACTCTTCAATTGAAAAAAGACCATAATTTGGGATTAATGAAAAAGAAAAAATAAGACCATTAAAGCAGAATGAAGGAAATATTTAAGATTAAGAATAAGATTCATCATGGAACATCTCGTCCGTTGTATCTAACATTATCAGTGCAACAGCACTGTTTCTGGATCTGATTTGCATGTCACCTTTACGGTACTTGAGGAACGAGTAGTATCAGTTGAAAGACTGTTTTTGACTATGAATTATATACCTTGTAGTGAATGTTGTTTCTCAGCGGTAGCTCTTGACTTTGAAGTAATCTAAATTTATTGTTCTTGAACTTTTGATCGGATTGAAATGCTTTGACAGTCTATTTACCACTATATTAGTACGGTAACATATGCCAAAAAAGAAAATTATTAAAGTTTTTGATAAATTGAAATTAAAAAAAAAACAACGTTGAACCAAATATGTTTATCTTTTTCTGTCTTGTAAACAATTCTATGAAACAAATATGTTTATGTTCTGTTCTTATTTTTTTAAAAAAAAAATAGAGCTAGTGTTTTGTTTGTTCTTATATGAAAACAAAAATGGAAGAGCATGAACTTACCAAACGGCCCTAAAAATGATTTGTTTGGTTCATGGGATGACACAGGATTAGATTAATCATCATATGTCAACCCATATTTGGTTGTATTTTATATATTGGATGACACATTCCAACTAACAGAATTAATCCCCTATTCGTGGGATAAAATAATCCCATGGGAGAGGTGATATTAGACATCTCAAAATAACTAACAAATAGGATGATAACATTTTAAACTAATTTATCCTTAAAAATAATACAAATTTATACTCTCATAATTATATAACCCTACTCCCACACAATAATATAACATGAATGGACTAATTTGCCCTTACTAATTAATTTTGAAGTTTTTTTGACTAATATGTCCTTACTACCAACATAACAATAACTAATAATTGGGCTAATTTTCCCTTGTGAATGATACGAATTCAACTAACACTATATAACCATATTCTCACATAATAACATGATAATAAATGGATTAATTAGCCCCTACTAATTATATTAAAATTTCTTGACTAATTTGCCCCCATTCATTATTTAAAATTTTTTACTAATTTACACCTATTAATTAATTTAAATTTTTAACTAATTTGCCCATACTACATCATATTAAAAGGACTATATTGCCCTTGAATTAAATTACCCTTACTAAGCGTATTTTCTCAACCACATTCTCTATAAATACACAATCCTATGAATTGGGCTTTCTAAATGAGGACTTCAATAAGTTTAAACTTGGCACAAAGAAAAATCTTCTATATTGGTTTTAGTTCAGCTCATTTAAAGCTCTTAAATAGGTTAGGTGTTAATCGTAAGCGTATTTTCTCAACGACATTCTTTATAAATACACAATCCTATGAGTTGGGCTTTCTAAATGAGGACTTCAATAAGTTTAAACTTGGCACAAAGAAAAATCTTCTATATTGGTTTTAGTTCAGCTCATTTAAAGCTCTTAAATGGGTTAGGTCTTAACCGATTTAACTCTAATTTAGCCAAAACTTGGCCCATCATTTAATTAGATTTCAAATCTAGATTCAAAAACACAATCAAAAAATATTTTTAAGGTCTCGAATGGGCTAAGTTTGAGTGAATCCAAACTTTTATATGTCAAAATTCTTGATTTACTTTATAATTCCAAATTTTCAAACTACTCTATTTTAATAAAAGTTATAAATATTAAATTTTTATTAAATTATTTTAATGATATTCTATAAAATATTAAATTATTTTTATTAAAAAATCTACAAATGAAAGGATACTTTAGTTATTAAAATAGTAATCCTATCTCATCCAATCTTCAACTAAACATAGGATATGATTATTTCTCAACATAACCTATCTATTCGAGAACCAACCAAACACTAGATAATTTGGATTATTGATCCGAGGATGACTCAGCTCAGGATTAATAATCCGAGGATGAATCATCCCATCTCATCCAGTCTGTGAACCAAACGGACCTAAAGGAATTGGAAATTAAACTAAAGACATAATGCAAATGGAAAGAGAAGACGAAAATTCTAATTAAGGAGACTTTACAAGTTAAGGAGCTTCCATCCATGTGTTTGGTTCCTTGAACATTATTTATAGGCAATTAGTTATAAATCTCTAACTATTTTAGAAGAGCAAGTGATGGAGTCAAGCTTCATCATATGTCTTAACTCATGTTTGCCTCGTCATCCCTCCCTTGGAAACAATGGAAGACAAAGCCTAATTCTCTTAATAGATAAGATTTGGTCAAATAAATATGTGTCTTATTTTCTTCACACTCATCTCTTCTTTCTCCTTTGTTGCTGTAAGACTTTTCAGAGTCATTTTTTACCGGAAAACTGGCTATGGGTGCCAACCAATACCATTACCCTCCCAAACACTTTGCCAAGGGCATCAATCAGCTTCCCCAACGTGGCTATACTAGAAATTGGTTGCCCCTTAGGGTCCCATTGATCATTTGGATGCCAACCTGTTAATTGTTTCTCAAAAGCTTTTTGCATATAAAAATTCGAATGTTGGAAATTACATTTCCTGAGCCGTGGGATCGGTCCCTTGGAATATATTGCCCAAGAAGTGGGTACCATTCGTGTATTTGTATGCGTACGCGGAAATTTTCAGATTCCACAAATTCACGCGGCCTAGTGGATAAAATGTTACCTATCTCTTTATTTTCGTGTATTTGTTCAGGTAAGATTATCACAAAAACTGGATATATGTACCAATACAAGCAGTGGCATCAGATGTCAAGTTTATTAAACAAGAGCTGCTTATCAAAATTCCTCGGTTTTTGGCTTTGATTGTTGGAAAATCTTTAAACCTACCCAATTTGAACAAACGAGTTAATTAAACAAGGCACAAGAAACCGGAGGCATATAAATTGTGGAAAGGAAAGAAATAGAAACAAGCCGAAGACCTTCTGGTTTGGAGGCAACTGGATACATATGTCTGTGTTGCACATAACCTCACCTCTCATATCATATACAGGACATATATTTATAGACTCTCAACGTCGGAACTTAGCGACTAACCAAACGCAAAGACAAAAGAAACTGATCGATGTGATCGAACATCCAGGCTTAAGAAAGCCATAATTCTGTGCACCGAAATTGGACCAGTGCATTAATTTAGCCCACAACCAACTAAATTAAGAAACTAGCTCGGTTTAAAGCATTAAGACATCGATCCTACTGGAACTGGACGAAAAGTTTGATGTACTGAGGGGCATCACTTTTGCGATATTTGATGAAAGCTTTTGACCGAAGACTAGTGTCCACCCTCCATTAGAAAGTGGCAGCTTCTTCTTCCAGCAACTGTTGTCTCTGAAAATGGCCACAACACAGAAACAATCCTGCAAGCAAGCTTGCTCACAAACAGTTTCATTTGAAGGATATATTTGCTCGAAGTCAGACAGTGGCCAATCTATGTCATTGATCACCACAAAATCATAAAGGTTTTCTGCAGAGCCCTCCTTTACTGCACCACAGCCGAGAGAAGAGTTTGGCAAGCAGCTGCCGTACTTGTCGTCTGGATCAAGCAGTATATACCCTTCTGGACACGCACAAGCCGGTCTCCCGTGTTCAAGGTGGCAAATACTGTTAATCCACAAGCTCCGCTCCCCTTTTCTCCAGTAATGAAACATATATTCTCCGGCAAATACCAAAGAACCTTCCAGTTCGGATTTCCAGTAAATGTCCTAGGATGGAAATAATATGTGAATACCCCATCAAAATCTATTGTGGCCCTATGATAATATTCTGATGCTGGTGGTATTGAAACTGGACTCAGCTCTTTTGTCTCGTTGTTCCTTTTCCTTATGTACAGGGCTCCTCTGCCATCAAACGTAACTTGGTAACCAGAAAACAAAACTGTAGGATCAGAAGTCTGACTATTAAGTACTCAGCATCATCATACACATTGGTTGGCACACTTCGGGTAGCAAGCACTAGATTTCCGTCATAAAGAAAACGGAGATAAAATCTTCCTTGGGAAAATTTTGTTGCTGACTGTCGAGAACTAAGAGAATCGCCAAGTATCAAATCTTGATATGGCAATATTGTATCAGCAGGAAATCTAAAGCTTTCCAGAGCCGGCTATCATCACTCCCCTTGAGGATAAAATTGCCGGTATCATTCATAAAACCATGGTCAACTTGACTAGAATTGACATCGGCACTCCAAAGTTGTAAGCCTTGAGGATCACGGAGCACAAGCCCACTCCGAGCATCAAGCTTTAGAGTTGATCCTCGTGGCACTAGATCTATTGAATAAACAAACCAAACTACGGTTTTGTCTGGTATCTTGTAATACCATATGGAAAACAAGAACAGATCCTTATCCTGAAATTGTCGGAACCCAAATGCAAAATCACCAGAAGGTGAAAGCCAAGAACTAGCAGATGTTTCACCTGCGGTCAAAGTACTGCCCAAAGGCACAATACCATTTTTTTGAGCCAAAGCAGATATTGGGAAGAGAAATAGGAAGAAGATGAGGTGTATGCATAGGTATGCCATTGCAATAGATAGTTTAGTCCTATTAAGTTGAATATACATTACCAATTACTCGTTTTAAACCACATATGTTGCTGGAATCTGGTTACCGCCATTAATGGTCCTGCCTTCTAGTCCAGTGATCAACTACAAGGTCCACCTATGTGGGGCTCCTTGAAGGTCCACCGATGTGTAAAATCTTGGTTTAATCTACCATTTAAAATGCCAAAAAATTCTGAAAAACTAACGTGGTTTGAATAACATACTATATACCACACCCGTTTCTTTGTCGAAACTCTGACTCAGGAAGATTACAGCAAACCGTCAATTCAATTTGAAGTGGACACAAGGGTATCAGGATGAGCAAGACAAAACTTGTCAATCAGCCTCTCAAAGTTAGTCAAACAATAATTAGCATCGTTCATTTTGTTATTAGCGTCGAACGGCACAGGAGATTCAGAGTACACAATAATTTTTGTGGAAATATACTTATTTTTTCTGCAAAAGGCAGGAAATTCTTCGCTCTCACAATAATTTGCATGTAAAAGCCAACAGGTACTACGAATAATGCATCCAAGAAAACTAGAAATATTCAAGAAAAAATTTTGGATATACACTACGCTGCTCTAATTGTCGTGTTAAAGACTCTTTGTTTGATAAAATAGTATCAAAAGACAAAATTACACTACAAAATGAAATCTTGGCCAATTTATCATTGAATGAAAGAAAAAGTTAATTTCTACATGATCAGTGGAAATTTTTTTTTTGTAAAAACAAACTTAAAGCCAATAAATAGAAAAGGATTATGGTATAAAAGGAAGAAGAAAATTGATTAGTGAAAAGATAATATATAGACGAAAAATATAAATAGACATATGCATAAAAGGATAAAAAAATTTAATGGGTGAAAAAATTATGTTTATGAATACAAAATGATTAGAAATATAAATAGTCCCACTATAAATGCAAGGAAAAATTCTTACGAGAGAATGCATACGTAAACAAAATTCATGAAATTTAAAATGATTACAGCTTAAAAGGGGGAAATTTTTTATGAGAGAAAAGTTTATTTTAGAAATAAAAAATTATTGAAATTGAACATACTCAAAGCAAGAATCGAAGGAATGGTTTTGATCATAGAAAAATTTAATGTAAAGAATAGTCATACGATGAAAGGAAGAAAAATTTTTAGAGAGATAAAACTTAATATCTAAAGGAAGAAAAATGAAAAATGAAAGTACTTTAATTAATAAAATGAAAAAAAAAGTGATGACTAGAAATATAAATATCAAAATAAAGAATTGAAAAAATTCAAATTAGTCAAAATATAAGTGCAAGGAAAAAAAATTGACAAATGAAGCCTTCGGTATGTAACTAAAAATCAAGGAAAATAGAAATACTTGTGGTATAAAAGAACAAAAAGAATTTGAAGAGAGTAAACTTATTATCTAAAGAAAGAAAAATAAGTAAAAAAAATGAATATAACATAGCATAGAAATCAAGGAAAAAAGGTTTGATGACTAAAGAAAAAATTCACATTTGAAAAAGGAACCATAAAGGGAGTACAATAATTGTGTGTGCAAAAGAATTTAAGATTATCGGAAGGTATGATTGTTCACAATTTTAACAATCAAAATGGAATATTCCTATAGGTGTAAAGTATATATTGTTTGCATTCAGCGGAGTAAAGTACTGGTAAGTCCCACATTCAGGGAGGCAAACTATAATCAATCACTAAATTGGCAACAATTGAATAATAATGTACAAATATTGAGTTGAACAAATTGTTAAAGAAGAGGAGACTTCTAATTTTAATATATATTTGTTCAAACTTGGGGTTTCGGTCGCTTCATACGGTTATTGATTCCTTCTCAATGAAGCTCTGGTGGAAGTTGAGATCTAACGATTCAGTTTCAGCAACCTTCATGCATGCTAAGTCTAATCATCTCATGGTGATCTTTGTGAGGAATTATAGAGACATGCACAATGAAAATTTTAAATTTTTTTAAAAAATTTTTATCAAGTTTTGATTAAATTCATGTGACATGAAGTTATTCAAAAAAATTATTTTATTCCATGGAGATCTTCTTAAATCAGTGGAGATCTGACGCAAAGAGGTATAGTGATCCACGTAGCTGCACAAGTGTTCTGCCTCTAATGGTGATCCATAGGAATCTCTTTAGGTAGAATCACCTAGGTCGAATTAGTTTAAACTAGATTAGTGCTAACTATTGCTAAGACATCTACTACAAATTGATTGAGAAAAACCTAGTTTTCCACCATGAAGTCGAATTAGTTTAAACTAAATTAGTTCTAGTTATTATCAGGGCACCTCCTACAAATTGGTTGAGAAAAACGTTTTCCACCATGAAAAACTTGCCCAATGAGAGAAATAGAGGTGTAATTTTTCCCTTATTTTCTTGGGCTAATTTTGGTATTTTTGTCTCAAGATTTTTCTCAAAAATCTCATAAGGCAATTTATGTATTGGTTAGTCTTGCTAGCAAAAACTTATTGAGTATTTGCAGAAAAATAAGTTGTCCCCATCCCTATGAAAATTTGAAACCAGTTTTCAATAGGATTTCGTTTCTTTATTCTAATATAAGTCTTGTATTTGGAAGACTTAAACTTATTTGCACTATAAGCCCCTCAAGTTTAATCTATCTCACAAATTAAACTATAAGTTATAAAACTTATCTTTCAAGTGCACACTTGAAATTCATTTAATACAACTAAAGAAGTTTTTAATGTATTTGAGCTATTAGGTTCTCATATACGTTAGTAATAACTATGAGTTATAATTATTAATAAATGAGAATTAAATAAATTAATTTTTTTTAATTTATCAGTGATTCTACTAATCAGTCAACTCACTCTTATAAATCAAGATTGGCATTAGATGACTTCTCCTTTTTAGTAAACATTTACCATGTAATTAATATCCTTTTAGGGTAAAATACATAAAACTCCCATGTGGTTAAGGAAATTGACACGAAACTTCCTCATTGTTTAGAAACACCCACTTAACCCCCCGGTGCTTTGGACTTCTGAGGATTTTACCTATTAACCGGCTGGGAAGCTAGCGAGTGATCTTGATGCGACCTAATGGTAACTTGTGACTAGAAGAAACTCGTTTCATTCCAATTTTGCCCTCCATGTCTCTTACAAATGAAACCCACCATAGTTGTAGTTCTGCAAATGAAAAAATTCGATAGAGAAATGCAAAACGAAGACAAAAAAACGTAAGAGCGCATCGCAGCTTTGGATTGGAAAAAAAGAGCTTTGGAGGCGCTAAATCAGCTATCATTTCAAGGGAGAACCCAAAATGTCAAGCTCTCAAAATTTTGGCGGTGGATTGAAGGACCTAAGGTACCAAAACGGCGATGTTTCTGCAACAATAAAGCAAAGATTAAGATAGTAGAATCTGAAAAACTATCAAAAGATATGTTGTATTATGTATGTGAAACTGGTGCTTGTTCATTTTGGGCATGTGCAACCCAATTAGTAGAGAGAGAGGCACTAATGAATCATCCTGCCAAAGTCCATACATGGAAGGGGTTTCACCAATTGGACCTGCAACCGCGGAAAGATTTATCATGTCTGGGCAAGGAATGGAAAGTAATAACTATAACAATATTATGGGATTACAATCAAAGATTCACAATGTCGAAGCAACGATAGGGCTGATGAAGATGATGATGATGCTGACTGTACTTGTGTCTCTTTTGTCACTGGTTGTTATATGTATGAGATGAATTTTGGGCAAAAATTGTAATGTAAAAGTAGTGTAATAGAATCTGGAGTTGGAACAAATTGCAGTGCAAAAACCACATTCTGGTTTCAATCTGGAGTTGATTTTCATGTTTCAATTATAAATGTGCGAAAGAAGCTGCTTTCTGTGCGAATGTGCCATCCATAAACACTTGTCAGATTTGGTCATCTTCAGCAAAGATATGGCCAGTAATATTGCCATCCATATTAGCACAACCAGACATAAGAAATCAGCAAAGATGTGGCCAGTAATATTGCCATCCATAAACACAAAAACGCGACATATTACCACAACCATACCACAATGGTATCCTACCATAACATGGCCAAAAGGTTAACTAGCAATACAGTCACAAATGCCACAGTCAACCAAAACATAGCAAAAAAATTTGAGTATAATACCACAATGGCATCAGTCAACCAAAAGATAGCCACAGTCAACCAAAACATAGCCAAAAAATCTGAGACAAAAAATTCATAATGGTATCAGCACCCTAAAAGATAGCCAAAGTCAACCAAAACATAGCCAAAAAATCAGAGTACAATACCCATGAAAGTATCAGTCAACCAAAAGATAGCCAAAAATCTGAGTATAATGAAAAATATTGCAACATCCATACCATAATGGTACCAGTACATTTTACCAATAAAATTGACATATTCTACTTAGCATAACCAGTATATTCAACCAATAAAATCGAGAAAATAGCAGTTCATTTTCTTGGTCTCTTGGAGCCACAATGCCGCAGCCTTGACATCCTTGCAGCCGGTTGCTTTCTCTCTGAGGATCTACTTTGCTAGCTTTCTTGGTTGGTACCACTTATAGGCTGATTTGACTCCTGTATATAAGTCCTCATGGTTAGTATGTATGTAAGTATATTCCAGCACCCAAAAATAGACAATTACCATAATGTATCTGTGAAAGTGTAGTACTGGTAGTACTTGAGACACTAGCCTGAGTTGCAGAAGCTACGGATGTTGCATTTGAAATTGTTGGACCAACTTTAGGTGCCTACAATTTAAATCGAAATGAATTAGTAGGTGAAAGTAGCAACAAAACACACTAAAGCATAGTTTTGATTCTAAAATTTTACATTACTTTGTAAAGTTTAGACTGAGGGTGAATCGCTGATTTGCAAGTTCTTATGTTATGTTCAGATTTCAAACACCTCCGACAGTAAACTGCAAGACCTTTCCTACTTGCTTTCTGCTAATATGTAGGCTCTTCTGGACCCCTTCTTCCTCTGCTTTTTTG